GTAATACTTAAAATTTTTTATGGTGCAGTGGTGGGGGAGACCTCCTCCTTCGATCCCACCCACCCCCACCCCCGAAGGCCATCATCTAGACAGTTATCGCAATTCTTTTACTGCTCTGTAGAAAACGTTCTGATTGGCTGTTTATGTAAATAATTTTAAGTATTACATAATAAATTGTCAATAGTTACTCACAGGAAAATAAATAAATAATTCGTAAAACTGCGTGACATTTGTTCTAAGTTTTAAAAAATATAAGGTTATCTAAAGGGAAATTTTCAGTAACTATTTAAAAATAATGTTAACGAATATAATCTTTTATGAATAAGAATTGTGAAAGATTTTGGTCAATAACCTTAGTCACATGAAAGAATATTATCATAATCGATACCTTGACCTTAAGCTACTTTAGTTTACTGTGTGGAATTTATAATATTTACAAGTATTAAAATCTTTTCTTATCAAAAACAGACAATAATTAATGTGTGACCTTAAGGAAGTGCTAATTATTTGTTATGTTCATCACGAGAATAATAAACAGTAGAGTAATATGTACCATATTCAAAGCTAATTAAATTTGTTAATTTTGACTCCATAATCATCCCTACATTTTTAATGGACTAGGTCGCTAGGTATACAGTTTTTGGCACAGATAGTTAAAGAATCTGATGTGCGTTCTAGAAAATCTATTAGTTTCGGTATGTAACAGTTGACCTTGTAATACCAAGAATGCTCTTTGACTTTGATATGCTCTAGTTTATTACTGAAGTTTTTCGATAATGTAGGTAAACCAAGTCACGAGCGGGAACAAGGTTAGAAGTAAACAGGGAGTAGTTTCTTAGAATTCTTTGTTTGTTTGTCTGTGCCTTTTGCTTAAATACATCACGAATTTGAACTTTGTACACACCTTAAATACTTACACTACTTGTGTATTGAAAATTGAGAGTATTCAGATTTAATTTTCTTGTGTTAAAATATGCCGATTGTGATGAAAATCAAGTAACAAAACTTAAATGCGCAGTTTCAATGTTTGATTGTTACTAAAAAAGCAAGAGAACAACGCACGCACGATATTTTGTCCTTGGGCCAATTTGGGAAGGCGAAGCTGTATTACCTGAAAGTCTAAGAAGTGATTTGACTGTCGAAACTTTAAGGTATAAACTTCGCCCACGTTGTCAACGCAGAAAATATCAGCCTCAAAAGCTTCTTAATTAAATAAGGATTCCTGATCGCAAGGAACATACTTGAGATGAATACTACAATTCTTACACGCGACGTTTCATCAATGATTTACTGTTGATAGAGTTTAAAAGTTGTATTATTATATAGACCCTTGAGGAAGCCGCTCTCTGAGGGTGAGACGTTGGGAGATCGTATATATAAAAAATAGTTTTTGATTTGAATTGGTTCAGAATGGATTCCTTATTAAATCATTATCATGAAAAAACAACTGAAAATGTTTTAATGACATACTCTGGCGGAGAATTAAGAACTCAACATATGAATATAATTTTATAATACATGCAGGATTACAAACGGAACGTGGCAGTAACCATACCTAGAAAGAGAGACGCGGATAGGTGCGAGATATTTAGAACAATTAGCTTAACTTCCCATGCGTCAAAAATCTTAACTGGAGTTGTACAGAGGAGGATGGAAAAAAGGGCGGAAGAACTACTAGGGGAAGATCAATTTGGATTAGGAAGAAATAGACGAACGCGGGAGGCCATTCTAGCTTTACGGGTAACAACAGAGAAAACGATATGAAAAGGAAAGAGTGCGTACACAGGGATTTGTAGATTTAAAGAAAGCTTTTGACAATGTTAAATGGGACAAGATGTTAAATATCTATACTTAAAAATATAGGGATGAGTTAGAGATAGAAGAGTGATACTTAGTTTGTATAAAGAGCACCAGGCAGTTATAGAGCTGAAGCTGCAACGTAGAAAAGTACACATTAGCAAGGGAGTTTGACAGGGATGCATCATTAAAGACAGTACAACTGTAGGGATAGACATACAGTGCAAAAGATTAGTATGCTTAGATTTGCAGATGATATAGCAGTATTACCATCTAGTGGTAGGAGGAATTAGAAATACCTTTAAATAAAATGGAAGCGGCATTGACAAAACAATATTGTATAAAAATAAATAAAAGTAAAACAAAATACTGGTATGTAAGGGAAGAAAAAGTAGGGAGAGAGAATATAAAGATAGGAGACGAAAAATTAGAAGAAGTGGCTGATTTTAGGTATCTAGGAACTCAGATAAGTAGTAGGGATATAAATCAGAGGATATACTTATAGATGTATCGAAATGTGGTGTTACAAGCAAATGATGAGGATACCGTCGATAGAAAAGGTTAGAAATTAGAACGAATATGAGAACAGAGGACTGTATGGAATTCAAAAACAAATAGGTGAGATAGGTTAGCAGAACACCTTCTCAGGTATGAAGGTCTAGTCAGAAACATATTAAAGGCAGAAACGGGATTTACGAGGGGTAGAAGTAGACCTAAATTAGATTACCGTTCGCAAATAATTAAGGATGTGGGCTGTTCTAGTTTTAGGGAAATGCGAAGATTAGCTCAGGATAGGAAAGAGTGGAGGTGCGTGTCCAACTAGTCTTAGGACTGACGACCTCATGATGATGATACGTACATGAAGGTATTTGTATGAATTTATCAAAAAATCATGACACCTTTGTCGATTGAATATAATATAATATCCCTATATTCGGTTCTTAAGTCGTTACCAGTGTAGAAAGAGAAGAAAAGCCAATCATATTTTCAGAGGGTGTTCTTTATTCTTACATAAATCCACAAGTTCTAAATTGCAAATAATTCAGCCAACTCCACTGAGTGAGACATGATTCGTATAATAACACTTTTAAATAATGTATTTTAATGTACTTATCTGTATTTATTGAAGTAAATCTTGGTTGTGGAACTGTTATTATGTTTCTTTACAGTATGGTCTGTATTCTGCATTTGTGGGCTGTTTCGTGTATATAATATTTGGTAGTGTAAAAGAAATTACCATTGGACCAACAGCACTCATGGCACTCATGACGTATCAGCAAATCGAGGGCCGAAACGTCGACTATGCAATATTATTGTGTTTTTTGTCTGGAGTTGTTCAGTTACTCATGGCATTTCTCAATCTAGGTAATTATTATATAATATATACATAATATATATAATTTGTACATTAAAATTCTTGAATCAAAACCTTGATAATATTAGTGCATAATAAATTTATTTACCAAAAAGCTTTATTGCATCCTAGATACTTTAATTTTGGTTAATGCGTTATTTTTAACTAATAGGTAGATTATAATTACAAGAACAACTAATGAGCTACGAAAAGTTAGAAATTTTATAAATGAAAGATATTAAATAAATGCAAAATTATGGGGTCATATCACGCGCAATATCATAGTTTGAATTCGTAATTATATTTAGTGTTCAAAAGAAAAATATTTTTAGGTGTTTTGGTCGATTTCATATCAATACCAGTAACAGTCGGCTTCACATCGGCGACATCAGTAATCATCGCGACCACACAACTGAAAGGGCTTTTAGGGTTGAAAATAAGTTCTTCAGGTTTTACCGATACCATCAGAAAAGTGGTGAGACATTTGGACGAAACAAGGTGGCACGACCTCTCGTTAGGACTAACGTGTATCATTGTATTGCTCTTATTCAGAGTAAGTATAAATAAATGTATAAAATTATTCGTTTTTCGATTCATTTCTTTTTTGTTCTGCAATAACTTATTTTAATTTGGTAAATTGTTATTGTTGGTGTTACTTTGTTGGTTTTTCAAAGTCCAGACATCTAATGCAATTAATTTTGATAGATAATAACGTCGCGATTTTACATAAGAAATTATTCTTCTAATAAATATATTAGATCAGATCCTTAGTGATAATTCAATTTAAAATATGATCAGAGGATTAAGGGTCAACAAAAACTCAGTTAAGACGAATTATTATTCGCAACGTTTAGTATATTCCTATATTGATACTTCATCAATCATCACTAATCGTTATTTGCTGCTGTATAAAACTGATTGATTTATTTATTACTGACAAGAAATTTATCAATAATTTGACTTAGTTGGCAGAGTAAATTATGAGCGCCTGATGAAGTATCAATATAGGATACGAAACTTTGCGAATAATTGTTTGTCTTAACTTAATTTTTATTAATCCTTAATCTTCTGATTACATTTTAAATTTATTCTTCTAAATTTGGGTCACGTGGATGGTTATTATCCTCAGTAATGATGAATAATATTGTTCTTGGTCATGCAGTTTTAGTATTGCCTTTACCTTTATAGTAGCGAGACCAAGACTAGGTATGAACGAACAAAAATCAATCTAAAATCAAGACTGAATATGCAGGGCCAAGACCAAATACACAAGACTAAACGAAATATTATTACTTTTAATAGCTACTTTTAATATTGTGGATAATTTGTTGAATGCATACGACATATTTAAACATTAACTTAGGAAAGGTAATAAACAACATGTAATAACGCTTTACATGCTGATTGGAGAAACGAAAGTAATTGTACATTCTTCTAAGAGAATTTTATGATATTGTCACAATTGTCAGTATGTACCCAAAGCAACAATCAATTTAATACAACCTGCTAAATATTAACGTATATTCACATCAATGTTTCTATTTTTGCAATTACCTCACGTGTGAACTACGGTAACCTTTCGTTAACATTTACGTGCAATGTTCAATGTGAAAGCTTTTTGTCCAATTAAGAATTAATTATTGCTGTTAAACTCCAGTCATTGAAGAACTGAAATAGTCAGTTTTAGTTGGGACAAGAGTGATACGAAAACGGAAAATAACATGGGTGTTATCTAAATGATTTGATAAACTTACCACTAATTCTGCAAACAACTTTGCTGATGATCTCGTTCGACCAGGATTAATATCACATGAAAGATATTGACTGTTATTACCGAAATCAGTAAAAAATACGCGAACTATTATGTAATAATTGGGTTGTATGCAAACTCGCTATGATTGTAACATTCCACGATAAATGATAAAATACTTCTGTAATTGTCGTCTACGAATCCGTGTTGATTCGGTTGTGAAGAAGAGACGTAGCTTATCCTTTATTGTTATCGTCGACAATCTGTTTTTATTTTGTGCTTTTTTTATATTTCGTAAACAGTGTTAATGTTTGAACAAGAAATTAATGATAATCATTTGAAAAACAATTAAAACTATCACTTTTGAGGTACTGACCAATTTCATTAATATTTATTCTTTCTATCTTAATGCTTTCTTCATCTGAAAAGCTTTTTATTATTAGGAAACAATCTGAATCGTTGGATTGTACACAATTTTTTCAAAATTGTCTATTTCTTAAAGCAAAAATATTTTTAATTTAAGGTAGGTAAAAAAAATTTACACGTTTGTTCTTGCTAGGATTGCCTAATGATACTTCAGGAATAATTCCGCTGGTGGATAGGCTAGTGCAAGGGATGGTTAACTGGGGTTCCACACTTTAATTTCGTGGGGTGTTAATGCTGATTATTTTGTCTTATATATTATCAAAAGAGTACGCGATAAATTTCGTAGAAATATCCATTGACCCTGAGCTTTCGCGGAATACAGTTTTAGGAACGCTGACCTAACTGTACTAATTTTTCAGTACGATTATTTTAATTCTCATATTTGGGCGATTATTTAATTGAAAAGTGATGTCGATGAATGAATTTGTTAATAAAAATATCTACTTAAAAGGCTTTGATTATTATTAGTAGGTACCTAGGTACAGATATTTTTAGGATTTTGTTTGTTGTATAAAATCGTAATGGATGAAGAACATTTAATATTAGATTAAAAATATATGTATTTAATTTGCTTATGACCTTTAAATAAATCATTGTTAGGTAAAGGTCTAGATGATGGCCCTCACCCACTAAGAGGATGGGGGTGGGGGGGATGGAAAGAGGAGGTCTCCCCCACCACTGTACCATAAAAAGTTCGTGGCGGTCTCACCCCTATAAAAAGTTATAGGGGTTCAAAGTTAATAAATATGCCAATTTTTATACATTCTAGGCATGTAAATATTTATATAGTCATTCTTAAACAATATTCAAAGGTAAAACTAATGAAAAATACATAAAAAGATTGAGAAAGTTACATAAAACATTATTTAAATATCTTTGTCAATAGGGTAGGTTAGGTTAGGTTAGGTTAGGTTATCGGGTTTTGTTCAAGTGACCACACTCTTTCGATCCCGCACCTCCACCCGCTTTCAAATAGTTATTTTATTTGAATTATAGTGTATGAAAATTGTCAAAATAATCAACTTTCAACCCCTACAACTTTTTATGGGGGTGAGACCGCAACGAACTTTTTATGGTACCGTGGTGGGGGAGACCTCCTCTTTCGATCCCATCCACCCCCCGAAGGGGCAATCATCTAGACCTTTACCCATTGTTAAATTTTCATTTTAAAACCATAATAGTCTGGTAAAATATTAATACCTCGTAATTGTTATTGTTTATAAATTTTCGGAGGTCTTCACCTAGTGATTTCCTATTTTTCAGAAAATCAAAGACATCAAATTGACCCCGTCCGACAAAAAGCCGACAAAAAATCAAAAAATTCTTTCCCGAGTTCTGTGGCTTACTTCAATATCTAGAAACGCAATCGTCGTTATAGCGTGTTCCATTCTTGCTTACAATCTTAAAAATAGTAGCAATGGTTGTCCGTTTGTATTGACTGGCACTGTCCGGGGGGGATTTCCCAGCGTAGCACCACCACCTTTTTCCACAGAGCTCAATAACAAAACCATTCCATTTACTGAAATGGTCACAGATTTAGGAACTTCGATTGTACTTGTTCCTATTATTGCTGTTTTGGGCAACGTTGCAATTGCAAAAGCATTTGGTAAGTGTTTGTTGATTACTAATTATTATCAGGAATTGAACAGGGAAGAGGCTTTTATATCTTTTATATTAACGAATATAGAACACGAAAGCAGACTGATACATTAGGTGATGAAAAAATTACAATAACTATTTTTATACGCTGAGAAAGAATCATTTTCTATCAATTTCGGATTAAGCTAACACTATGGAGGTTAGGGATAAGGAGAACTGTTTCTGTTGTGAAAACGTGTCCGTTAAACTGCGTTAAATTAGAATGGCGATACAGTACCAACAGAGTAAATTTCAAAGAAAGCGCCAAAAGTTATTATTGGGTTGTTCGGAAAGTCATTTCGTTTTTTCACATTTACCTAAGCCGTATAATTTTTATATGCTTTGAGAGCTTATATGGCAAGGCTTGTGTGTGAAAAATTCCAATTAATTCTACGCAGTAGTTTTTGGTTGGTGCCCTTTTAAATATCGAGAGCGATAAGCAGCATTTTCGACATATCTTACTGTTTTACTACAGAACGGGTAAAAATGCTGTTCAAGCCAGAAAGAAATTGACTGATGTGTATGGAGAAGGTGTGTTGACAGTACGCCAGTGCCAGAACTGGTTCGCTAAATTTCGATCCGGCAATTTTGATGTCGAAGATGCACCACGTTCGGGAAGGCCGGTTGAAGCTGATAAAGACGCGATAAAGGCATTAGTTGATGTGAACCGGCGAATAACAACACGTGAGATCGGATTGAGGTTAAATTTATCAAATTCAACAGTTTATGACCACTTGAAAGGCCTGGGATTATCCTCGAAGCTCGATGTATGGGTTCCCCATGTTCTCACAGAGAGAAATCTGTGTCGCCGCATTGACGTCTGCGATTCGCTTCTCAAACGTCACGAAAATGATCCGTTTTTGAAGCGCATCATCACTGGGGACGAAAAATGGGTTGTATACAACAACGTCAAACGCAAGAGGTCATGGAGCAAAAAAGATGAACCGGCTCAAACCATTTCCAAAGCCGATATTCACCAAAAAAAGGTGATGCTGTCTGTTTGGTGGGATTTTAAAGGAATCGTTTTTTTTGAGCTTTTACCGGATAACACAACGATTAATTCGGAAGTCTACTGTCATCAGCTGGACAAACTGAATGATGCACTTCAACAGAAAAGGTCAGAACTAATCAACAGGAAAGGTGTAGTGTTTCACCAAGACAACGCGAGACCTCACACAAGTTTGGTCACTCGCCAAAAGCTTTTACAGCTTGAATGGGATACAATGCTACACCCACCATATTCTCCAGACCTGGCACCATCGGATTATTATTTGTTCCGGTCACTCCAAAATTTTATGAGCGTGGAATTATGCTACTACCAGAAAGATGGCAAAAGGTGTTGGACCAGAACGGTCAATATATAATTTAATAAAGTATTTGTTTATTATACGAAAACTGTCTTTCATTTCCACAAAAAAAAAACGAAATAACTTTCCGAACAACCCTATAGAATAGGACAGAAAAATAAACAAGGGCAGAAGAACTTGAATTACGTATGAGGTTTTGTATATAACACCCACCAAGCGGCACGACCTAGAGGTTTAGACTATTGCTTAGAATTCGGGAGGACGCCGGTTCGATTCCGGGGATAATCTTTCATTCCCTTCTATCTTCATTTCATCCATCTCATCTTTCTCACCGGAACCACCACCCATGCATTCCCACAATTCTTGAAAGAAGGCTGAAAAGGGTCTTCCTGCGTAGTCCGGAGGGACTGCCCGCCTTTCAAGCATTACTCTAGTTACTAGAAGTATTAAATTTTTTAACCCGGCATACGTCAATTCGTCAACAACTGCTACATTCATACCATACACTTTACCTACGCTTACGTCATTTTGGAGGGTTTTTGAACTGTTATTTATTGCTTATAACTGGACACTTTTTTAACTTCACCTCTACCCTCCATAGCAAACACGAACCCGTAACATCCGCTAATAAGTATTGCTACGTGGCTAATCTGATACTGCTTTCTACCTGAAGAAATTCCACTGTTTCACCTAAAGGCACCACTGTATGATGAAAAAATTATTATCGTCGATTTCTTGATTAAATATTTTGCAACATATAAGGTTCGTATCTAGGCCTACGATCAAAATTTTGTGGGGTGAAAACTATGAAGTCAGCATCGACGGCCTACCAAGAAAGCGCTAAGCGCGTAGCATGTTTTACAAGTATGTTTGGACCCTAAGATTTCACAAGCAGCAGCTTAGCATCCTAAGTACGCTCCTGATAATAATGTCATATGCGAACTACGTCCGCTTTTTAATTATAATTTATTTTGGTAATTTGTAATCAAACAATAGAACAACGAGGAAAAAATTGTACCTGGACATTTTATTATTAATCAATTAACCGAAGTGTGTATTTTATCAAGAGCATTTGTTGTTATACGAGTACACTAAAAGCTCTTTATTCTCGGGTTATACGTTCCATAAATATGCCGCGAATACAGAAAGAAAAATGGATATGGAATGGTAATTAGTATGGAATCGTAGGGGATACGTTCTAAGGTTCCAAAAGAAAATCAATGTATTGATAAATTCGCAATTAAAATTAATCGTTATAGTCAGCTTTAGGGAAGAGTTTAAAAAATTTAGTGATTTTTTCTTGTTTTGAATTTTGAAATTAGTCCACTCGGTTACATCTTCTATAAAAGTCGCCTCGACACGAGCCAACAGTACTCAAAAGATGCTGATACGTTGAAAAATAACACCGAATCCTTTTCTACTCGGTTAGCTTTTTATAAAAGCCGCTTTAGCACATACCAACTGTACACACTCAAAAGATGCTTATACATTAAGGGGATTCAGTAATACACGCGGCTTAGAGTAAAAACATGCTTATCGGATCTAGATATCATGACTTTAATATTTGGAACAGACGTTTGAAATTTTGTAGTAAGATAGATAAAGCTTTGTTCTAAAGCTTGTCGAAGGCCATTTTTTAATTTTTATTGAAAATACGTGTCCTACAAGAAGCATCAATTTTAAGCACTTGTAAAAGCGTTTAATGACTATATTATTTAAAACCAAAAACGTAAAGTGTTAGTGTGAACCTTTGCCTGTTACTATACAAAAAATCACATATTTATCTCACAGCGTTAAATCACAATGTTTAGAATAGAAACTCATGTTCTCCGAAAAATTTACACTAGGCACGAGCGGTTTGTTGCGGTCAATCCCCTTAATAAATGACACCGAATCCTTTTCTGTTTATCGTTTGCAACCGCGAATAATGAAACATTAACCGCGAATACAGGAACTGGGTTGCAATTTTTTCACCCGTGAATAATGAAAACGCGAATAAGGAAACCGTAAAGAAGGAACTTTTACTGTACATAATCCTTGACCTGCTCGGGCTCTTCCGTAGCTACGTCCCTTGTGTACTGACATGGTATAGTTTATTACATAAAATTATATTCTAGCCACTGGAAAAACCGTCGACGCTACTCAAGAATTATTTACTTTGTCTCTGTGTAATATCATCGGGTCTTTTGTTTCGTCTATGCCGATAACGGGATCGTTTTCCCGATCTGCCGTTAACCACGCCAGTGGCGTACAAACACCGATGGGTGGACTATTTACAGGTGCGTGAATATATAAAGAAAACTATTATAGTGACCGACCTACCTAAATATTTGCCATAAAAAATGTCATTTATCGTCTATTTTTATAGGGATCATGGTCATACTGGCTCTAAGTTTCTTAACCCCATATTTCTCATACATTCCAAAGGCTTCGTTATCAGCGGTTATTATTTGTGCTGTAATTTTCATGATTGAGTACGAGGTGGTGAAGCCAATGTGGAGATCTAGCAGAAAAGATCTTGTGCCAACGTTTGCTACTTTCGTGCTCTGCCTTGCGATAGGGGTTGAAATTGGCATTTTGATTGGCGTTGGCATTAACATAATCTTTTTGCTGTATCCGTCCGCTAGGCCAACAATTCACGTTGAGAAAAAAACCATAGTAAGTAAAATAAAAAATAAGAAAATGTTTAATTTTAAATTTAGGGGTCGTTCATGAAATACGTTCGTAAATAAGGGAGGGGGAGGGGGTATAAGGAAATGTGTCGTTCGCAGTTCAATTTTATTTTAATATTTTCCTGAAGTTTTGAAAATTTTTCATTACTATAGAAAATCATAATCATTGCTATTTTTAATCACAAGAAATCGTCTAAAGGGGGGAGGGGTTGGAGAAGTCGCTAAAAGTGTGAATTAGCGTGATGAAGGGGAGGTCCAAAAAGGTGAAATTCGTATTTTATGTATGACTCCCTAACGTTACACGCATTCTTGCTTCATTCTTCATTATTTATTGTTTTAATGATGAAATTCGGAAATGGGACCACCCTGTATATATGATAATATATACTGTGTGTTTGTGTTTTTTTTTAATTGAAAGGTTAGCAAATTCTGACTTCAAATGTTTCAGGTCGACAGTGGCATCGAGTACATTTTGGTAACCCCTGGAAATAGTTTGTATTTTCCAGCAATTGAGTTCATAAAATCCAGCGTAGTAAAGGCTGGTCTCTCATCGTCACACTTACCAGTAGTGGTAGATTGCCGATTTATTTTGGGTTCGTACTTCAGTGTTTATTACAAATAAGGGAATTAAAAATACCAATTATTGTTTCAACAGGAGTTGATTTTACCGCTGCTAAAGGGATTTCGTCCATGATTACGGAATTTATGTTGCGAAATCAACCGTTATACTTTATAAATCCTAAAGAAGAGGTTATTGCTGTTTTTAAAGGAGCAGTTATGGAAGATTTTCAATATTTCAAATCTGTTGATGATCTTCAACAACATCTTTCAGGTAAGAAGAAATAAAAACTATCTTGTTAGTGATCAATGGTTATTGACTAATAATTATTCCTTGGAATAAGTTAAAGTTGATTTAAAACGTTTTTGGTGTGAGCGATATTGTTTCAAATAATTTTGAAGTGAAACTTCTTTATGCACGGTAGGGTAAGTTCGTTTCATGCGAGTTGCTATGTAACGAAATCATGCAACGGATGTCCCCCCTCTACTCGGCCACGTAGTCGAGTTCGTAGTGGGGATCGCTTGAGCCGTGAGCACGCTTCAATGCAACGTTCGTTACAGACAACTCCGGCATGTATAGTGTCGCCCTAACAAAATGTATGAATTCATTTATATGTGTTTGTGCATGTATGTCTACACTCTACAGTCGAAACGACGCCACTGACGCCAATTCCTTAATCTCTATCCCGGTATGTTTGTGTGGTTGAAGAAGTTTCACTTCAGTAGCGTGTTGCATAATTACACGTTTTATTTTCTTATGTATCTGTTTCCGGAAATGTATAAAATCTAGGAATGATATACAATTCCGAGGATATTTAGGATATGTATACATTTCCTAGGAATTGTATGAAATTCATATATTGTACTAGGAAATGTATAAAACTAATTCTTTCGATGAATAAAATGAATAAAACACGTTAGTACACTGAGAATCTGAGTTATCTGTGTTTACGCCTCATTATATGCATTGGTGACGTTATTGTTTTGTTAGGTTAGGTTTGGAGATGTATATGTATTAGCGCCGTTATTAGATAGATTTATGACAGACTGGAGTTTCTTTCTGATACGTTGGAATAATGTCTTCGAAAAATATGCTTCATTATGATCTCCGCGCCCAACATACATATGAAAATGATCAGCATTATCAACTCTATAATATACTAAAAATTCGAGGTTATCGTGTTTACTGAAACAATGATAACCTCATCACATTATTCTAACATCTAACATATCCATATCAGCCCGCTTCCGGTGGGCAGAGGCATTAAAGAAACTCCAGGGTGTGTTCCGAAATATAACCCAGCATACTGGCCAGTGCTGATGACGTTATGAATCGACGCCATACTGTTGATTCGTTCCGAAAAATACTGGCCAGTGGGTTGATGTCAAATTGACGCCATATTGAGAATACTGTGTGTGCTCGTCTACAACAATTTTGCTTCAAAAGTTATTAAAGTCTCTTATAATAAAAAATTCCTAAAAGTCTGATGCACACACGCCCGTTCGATATACTACTATGTCACACTTATCTCACCAGTACAATATGGTGGCACACCAGTACAATATGGTGGCGATTCATGACGTTATCAGTACTGGCCAGTACGCTGGGTTATATTTCGGAACACACCCCCAGTCTGTCCTAAATCTCCCTAACCAAACAATGACGTCGCCAATTGATTAGGTACATCTTCAGGCAGGCTGCCGTATTGTAGCCTATTTAGTATTGCCTGCAATACATTTCCTATTGCTATTTAGGAACTGTATAGATTTCCTAGGAAATGTGTCTAATATAATTTCACACATTTCCGGGTGATTTTAGGAATTATTGACATTTCCTAGGAATTGCTTACAATGACGGATTTCATGCATTTCCGGTAACGTATCTATTTAAAAAAATGGATTTCTTTAACATTTTTCTCCTACAATTTTTTTTGTAGGCCAAGATATGAGCCAGTCTTGGTTGTCAAGTCTAGGGTATCTTGCAATGATTCTTAATTTTGCATGATTTAAATACAAAATTCAATATTTTGGGCTTGTTTAATGTGCAGAAAGACCCACTTAGTTACACCATTACATTATTATTATTATTTAAAATCGACAAAACATTGAGAACACAAAATAAACAGTTTTAGAATTTGAATAACTTCCAAAAAAGAAAAAATCCATTTCGGATTTCTTTTTCTTATTTTCAGATCAAAAAGAAAAAGCCAAGACCATTTTTTCGGAAGAAACGAAGCTACTGCCTACTGGTCAATCAGAAGAACCAGCGTCGGTCACAACAACAGATTTACGAGAAATAAAATGTGTCAACGGATGTGGTAATTTTGTACAACACTCAAGTTCATCATGTTAATTTGTAAAATGCAACAATCCGCGTAATTTATTTGACCGAACCGAAGAAAAGGTTAATTTTTATTTACCAACAAAATAAGAAATAATTATGCATTAACAACATTTGCTATTTTGTATAATTTATTATTTTTATATGTTAATTTATTGTTGGAGAACGATAAAACAGTGGAATGTTGATTGTCTTCTATAATGTATAAGTTTTGTAAAATTACCGAGTTCCTTAAATTAATGAAAAAACTCTTTTTTGTATTAAATAAAAGGTTTATATGATTTTGTATTATTTTTCGATCATTTTTTCGTTATTTTAATTAAGTCGCAACGCTTTACTGTGGTCCTAGTTCGAGAAAGAGACCAAAAGCAACAATTAGTACTTTAAAGACCAAAGTCTTAAGACTTAATCGAGATTGAGCCTAAAATTTTACTTTTAAGACCGTTTCGAGACTTAACTTATAAGATAGATTTCAATATTAGAGTCTAAAGAACAAAACCAAATATGTCTTTGTTTCAGTTCGCAATAATATAACTAAATAAAATTCACTAATTACCTTTAAGAGGTAAAGGCTAAAATTTGCCTTGCAAGACTGAGACTTAACATATATAAGGTTGGTTTGAACATTGAGACCTAATTTGTGAGACCAACGTGAAAGTTCAGACTTGACCTTGAATAATGTACTAACGTTCTTGTTTTAATTCATAAAATGACAGCTAAAGAAAATTACCCTTACTGTTATTAGACACCAAGCCCAATATTATACAATAACCGCTATTTACAAGACCAAACTTAGCACTTCATCGAGATAGAGACCAAAAATTGCCTTGTAAGGGCAATATCACTGAGATATACTATATATAAGACATATTTCAACATTGAGATTCATATTGTGAGATTAACATGTAAATTGAGACTTGACCTGCGAAAACATAGTAAAAACAAGTAAAATAATTGATTACTTACTGTTACAGTGAGACAAAGACCAAGCCAACATTGTACCTGATAAAATCACTATTTTCGAGACCTAAATTAGGAGTTCAAGACTTACCGAGTTAGAGACTAAAATATCTTATAAGACCGTCTCAAGACCAAATTAATAAAATATACGAAAATAGTGAGACCAAAATAAGGATTTGACCTGTCAGTTCTAGACAAAAGCTGTAATATAATTTTGACTTGATTTGTACATCGACAAGAATTTATCGATAATTTGTAAAACTGTTATCAAGATTAAGACTTGAGAGTAAATCCATGATTGATACTTGTGAAATCGAGATTTTTAACTTCTTGGATCGACATTAAAATTGAGACTTGACGTGCATGGATAATTCAGGACGAGGCCAAGGAAGTTCTTGTATTAAATGGTCAAAAAAGTAAGTAGAATAATAAGCGACCGTTATTTTTCGTAAATATCTGTAACTTTAATTATTGTTGAGGAGTTTGGATCTGGGAATATTTTGGTTTTCATTTAGATAATTGGTGCCATTTTATAGGAGCGGATTTTAAAGTTTATTTATTAAAAAAAAAAAACAAAAAAAATATTTACATAAACAAAACTTAATCGTTATAGGTACTAAGGACTCTGTAGTCAGGGTATATTTCTTTATGTTTATATAATAATTATTTATGAATGCGGATATGAAATAAATAATAATGTATCGGGTTCTAAGCTTGTTCTTAATTAAACTTAATTTGCTGTTTTACTAAAACGATATAGGTACAATACAAGGCGTTCCAGAAGTAATTTTCAAACAGCCTGATTGTAGATTTTCAATAACCTTAATATTAAAATTGCACATTTCGTTGTAAAAGTATATAAATATATTCATATATTTGCGTTCGTATATCGGATGTCCAAGAGATCTTTTCTTATAATTTAGCACCGGATCTTTTAATCGAATAATCATTTAAAAGTTGGACACCCGGTATAAGAGGTCCATAAATAAATTTCTCAGTATAAACCAGACGGCAAGTCTGCCAGTTTACTAACGCTATGCAATCGGTTGACTTTTTTGTGACAGTACGTTTCAATTTTAGGGGGTGCAGGTACGCTAAGTGTCGTCTTTGTAAGGTTGCAACTGGAGTAGAGACCGACATTGTTGTAACCCCTTTTAACTACAAAGCTCCCGTTATTAGAACATTTTTCATTTACCTGTGGAAAATATTGGCTCTGATCTTTGGGTAAAATTACTTTGCAGGTCTCTTCGCTCTTCTGGGATCCAGGATTACTCTTGATGTACTGACTGTGGTTTGCGGTGAGTTCGTTTTGCAGATCCTTCTGTAGATTCAGTTTCCTGTCCGTCACTATGATATCAACCATGGCGTCCAGACCGTCTTCTATTCTGTCCAAACTTTTGGACTTAATTTTGTTCACCGCACGTTGCCTGGCGGTCATCAAACGTTTCTTCGTCTGCTTCGATAACGTTGTACTTGCAGCGGCAAAATCGTGATGAAGATTGTCGTTTAGAGATTTTACTGAGTTGAAGAAAACCCCGAACGACTGGGGAGGTTTGTTGTTGATTGGCTCGTACGTTGTCGAGTAGATCTGGTCGTAGATCTTTTGGTCAGGAGTGTTTTCGCTATTGAGTTTGATGATGGTTGTATTTTTACAATTAGCGGTGCTTCCAACTCTTTGTGGGTGACATTTAGAGGCACTTAACAAAGAATCGGATCCTTCTTCGCTGGTGAAAGGAGTTCCGTTGTCCATGTAGATGTTTTCTTGGGTGTATCCATAATCGTCAGTTGGAAGGAACATTTGAACGAGACTTTTTACCCTACGGGGAGGATGAGGATGGATATTCGTTGGAATGATTTCCATTTCGTCATCGAAAATAACTGGATCCAAAGTCATCGAATTTACTCTGCTGATGTTATGATCATTTGAGAGGATCAATTTGGATTTGTTGGCTTCGATGTAGTTGTTAGTCTCTTCTTTGTTCACTATATTCTGAAGTTCCTCGATCACTTCTTCTATTGTCGTTTCCTCTTCGTCAGAGTTGTGGTATTCCGAATGTTTGTCTTTTGGAATTGTGGATGCGGTTTGGTTATAATTGCTGCAAACGGATGTTTCGTTTCTCATTTCGTCTTCCGGCGTCAAACTTCGTTCTGAGGATGAAATACCTTCGTCATCTGCTGGAGTTGATCGATCTAAACAAAAATCAAATGGTTGTCAACTAATTTATTGCCTATGCAGCATTGCAGCATTTTACAAACCTTTTCTATATAACGAGCAGTCAGTTTTTATGAGATAAGTTTTTCCTGGTTTCAAGGACTTAATCTCTCTCTCCAATTCACTGCATCTTTCTTTTAAACATTGCTCCAGAGAGAGTAGGATTCCCTTTTCTTCTTGAAGGATCTATAAATTATATTTATTTATTAACATAAAAAATGTTTGAAAAGTTCATTTGTTTACTTGTATTCTTCGCTCCAACAACACCACTTTGTCTCTGAGATTGTCGTTATCTTTTTCGGAATTTTCCAATCGAATTGCCATCGTTTCTATGTCAATGTGATTTTTTTCCCAACGATCAAATTCCTTGAAGACGTGTTCAGTTGATGGCGAATTAATTGGAATAATCTGTAACAAAACGATACATACAAAAAGTTTCGTCCTGTCCAATAATCTTTTAGCAAACATGTTATTTACCTTTTTTATGATAGCAATATCAAAGCCAGCTTGTTCTAACTCAGCTTGGACGTATAATCTCCTTTGCGTGGATCCAGCGCTATCCAAAAAGGCATTAATGAATCGCATACCAGCTGCCAGGAGATCGCCTTGTCCACCTGCAGAAGTTAACATTCCTATAAGAAACCTGAACCTTACAGGTTCACCATATCTCAGCCGAAGTGTAGTCATTGCTTCCGAAACTGCTGAATGACCTTTACTGGATGCTTCACAAGCCTTTGTTAAAAGCTATAAACAAAAATATTAAAAGGAGTTTTAGAACGAAGAAAGTTCAATGCACATGATGATAATTGAGATACAGATTTGTAATGAAAACGAGTTGTAATAATTTTAATAATTACACTTTTAGAAAATACCACAAATGGCGCGGTAAACGCCATCTGTAGTACGATGCTACATCTTAGGATTACATATGCTCCAACAAGGTCCATTTAAATATATGGATATCTACTTGCTGAAACGAATCCCGGCGTAGCCAAGCTCATCGTGATAGGCACGTTACCATAATCGAATAAAATAATACGAAGTGGTCTGTATTCTGTAGAAACTGCCAGACGCGGATCGCGATTTCGATGGTTTTGGATCTCATCAGCGCGTCGCAGACAGCTCCGACAGAACACAGACCAACTTTTACCTGCTGTCTTAACAGTGCGTTTTAGAAAATACCACAAACGGCGCGGTAAACGCCATCTGTAATACATTTTAGGATTACGTATGCTCCAACAAGGTCCATTTAAATATATGGATATCTACTTGCTGAAACGAATCCCGGCGTAGTCAAGCTCAACGTGATAGGCACGTTACCATAATCGAATAAAATAATACGAAGTGGTCTGTATTCTGTAGAAACTGCCAGACGCGGGTCGCGATTTCGATCTTTTTGGATCACATCAGCGCGTCGCAGACAGCTCCGACAGAACATAGACCAACTTTTACCTGCTGTCTTAACAGCGCGTTTTAGGAAATACCACAAATGGCGCGGTAAACGCCATCTGTAGTACGATCAGGTAAAAGTTGGTGTGTGTTCTGTCGGAGATGTCTGCGACGCGCTGATGAGATCCAAAAAGATCGAAATCGCGGTCCGCGTCTGGCAGTTTCGACAGAATACAGACCACTTCGAATTATTTAATTACAATTTTATTAGATTAATTCTTTTGGTGATGTTTTAATCTTTATTGGTGAGGCCATAACAGGAAGTAACACTTCATCATTTATATTTCAAAGTGCCTACCTGTAGAGCAATAATCCTGGACTTGTTGACACTGCTCATGATACAAACTGCCAATGTGTATAATCCTGCTGTAGAAGCAATCAAGCTATGTACGGCGTCGTGATATCTCACGCAACAACAAAGAAGGCATTGTAAACAAGCAAGTTCGTCCAACAAGGCTCTTCGTTGAACTATAGGTGGAGTACGAGCCAAAGTACTACCCACTGAACTGCTGGTCGTTCCTCCGGAGTGACCGTTTTGGCTAAGCTGGATGTTACGTAGAAGTTCCAATAACAGGGTAACTCCATCGTAAGGATCGGAGACGAATTCTTGGACAAAACTAGAATTAAATAAAAAAAAATACAACGTGTAATTATACAACACGCTACTGAAGTGAAACTTCTTCAAACACACAAACATACCGGGATAGGGGGTTAAGGAATTGGTTTAATGGTATTATTTGTACACTATGCTTCGCACGGGTGCAATGCTGATAGTAAATACATTATAGAATGTCTTTATATACAACAATCACAGCTTTTTTGTCATTAGACAATACAAAACGGCCGGTACCGCCGCAACCGCTAGCAAAAAGCCATTGGAAAGAAAATTGAGCCAAATTCAGTTGTTTTAGAAATTCTTTATTTACTGCGGCGGATTATTTTTAGAAGCACAGCAACACGAGGGGCAGCAGCATTTCGCAGTTGAACTCGGATCTGGTTTGGAGGTGCACACAAATCTTCCTGGGGGTTGGTAGCTCAGAGAATTTGTCGTATGACCTTCTAAAAGTAGTTTTGGCGGCTCGTATGAAAGTTTTTCGGCCCACGGCTTAGAAACCGGAGGTTGCTGTCCAATAGGCGTATATGACGTCTGATGAACAGTCTTAAGATCCATGGGTCCATCGGGTAATTTTATATGAGTCCGACATCGTATCGGTTTCACTAAATTGTTACCAGACTCGACGGGTTGATAACTTGCTCGGTAGCACGTTTGTCCAGTGAAGGGTTGGTTGCTGGTGGTCAAATTGTCCCCCATTCGTAACGGTTGCGCTCTTTCGAAGGGCATTGGAACGTAATCCTGTTTCTGTGTTGTCAGCAGTTGCATGGGTCCATCTCCAATTAATTTATGATCAGATAACCTGTGTAATGATTCTCGGGAAATCTCGCTGCTGGAGTACCATCTAAACGAAGAATTATTTGTCGTTTCTGAGTAAATTTTCTCAGGACTGAGACCTATTGCATGCTTAGGTTCAAACTTCTGCGGTTTGTCGGTTTGGGCAGGTTTATAACTCATCCTGTAGACAGTGCCATCGTCGAACTTCTCGGGAGGCAAGTATTTAGGTAAAGGCTTGTACGATTGTAGTTTTGGGCCTAACGCATAGGGAGGATAGCTCTCGTGGTAAATAGTGGACGATTCCAACGGAGGTCCCGACTTTTCGTAAGCTTTCGCTTTTGCCCACGGTTTTTCTTCTGGGGGTTGTAAGCCCCAGAATTTGTATGAGAGCTGGTTGATTGTATTAAGATCGATCTTCTCTGCAGAGAGTTTCATGTTATCTTTATATCTGTATGGGAAAACTTTAGCTTCGTTAACATTTAACGGTATGTAAGATAGTTGAGTAACAGTAGTACCATCGAAGGGAGCTTTGCTTAGGGTTAAACCGTCCTCGTATTTATCGGTTTTGCTTTTCGTTTCTAATGGGAGGGGTATGTAATCATGTTTATGCGTAGTAATCAGTTGAACTGGGCCGTTTTCCTGAAGATTGTGGTCGCAGAGACGAAATTCAGCGGGTCTTCGAAAATTCGTTGGGGCTACATACGATAGCCTATTGACAGTATTGGTATCCATTTTACCGACTCCAACAGTGATGTTGTCTTCATGAAATATCATCTTTTGTGCTGTTGACTCCTTTGGAACATATGTTTTGTTGTATGTGGTGTCATAAACACCCTTTTCCGGTGGTAAATACTTCTTAACGGGTTTAAAGGACTTTGGGACTTCTGGAGGAACGTAAACGCATTCCTGTTTCGTACCCACGGGACAGCATGGACAACCTGGTGCACAAGTTCGACAGGAGTTATCAAATTTAACAGCCGTTGATTTCACGGGGGGTGCAGCAGGGCTCATACAGGGTTGTTGTTCAAGTACAACTGCCATTATTATTATTACAATAAATAATATAATGTGCTCTAAAAATGGATTGTAAAAAATACGATAAAAATGATTAATATTTAAATGTCTTCACAAAAAAATACTTTGAGAAGATTATGACAGATTATTTGTTTGAAAGGCAGATGTTATGAATAAGTTACAGCCACCTTATTATTGTAACGATTTTGAGTGAGTTGACATTACATAAATTCATTTTAAGCTAAGTAACTAAGAAAAATTTTTATATAAACCTAATTTTTAGTTAATTCTAAAAAACACTAGGAATCTTGCCCAGCTCTGCTGTAGAACAATAGTTTTATATTCTAGTTTCCTTGTCAAAATCGTTTTCAAGATACAAATTCAATAATATTTAAATCAATTGCTTTAGTAGAAATTTTCACTGGTTAGGGATATAAATCAGAGCATAGCGCAGGGTCGAGTGGCCTTCAATAAGAAGAAGTCACTCCTATGCTCGCGAAGAAATTCGAAAAAGGTTGTTAAAGGTGTATGTTTGGAGAAAACATGGCCGGTGGGCCATGGGTTAGAAGCGTTCGAAATGTGGTGTTATAGGCGAATGATGAGGATACCGTGGATAGGGAAGGTTAGAAATTAACAGATATTAGGAAGAATTGGAGAGCAGAGGGCTCTATGGAAGTCAATAAGAAATAGGCAAGATAGGTTGGCAGGGCACCTTCTTAGGCATGAAGGCCTAGTCACAGACATATTAAAGACAGAAACAGGAGTTAGGAGGGGTAGAGGTAGACCTAAATTAGATTACTATTCACAAATAGTAGAATAAAGGATGTGGGATGTTCTAGTTTTAGGGAAATGCAAAAATAAGCTCAGGATCGGAAAGAGTGGACGAGCGTGTCCAACCAGTCTTAGAACTGACGACCTTATGATGATGATAGATTAAATAGGCGAACAGTAATCTAATCTAGGTCTACCTCTACCCCTCCTAACTCCTGTTTCTGCCTCTAATATGTCTCTGACTAGACCTTCATGCCTAAGAAGGTGTCCTACCAACCTATCTCGCCTATTTTTTATTGACTTCCATAGAGTCCTCTGTTCTCCTATTCTTTCCAATACCTCTTCATTTCTAACCTTTTCTACCCACGATATCCTCATCATCCGCCTATAACACCACATTTCGAACGCTTCTAACCTTTTCTTTTCCGCCGCTCCCACTGTCCATGTTTCGCACCCGTACAACGCCGTGCTCCAAACATACACCTTTAACAACCTTTTTCGAATTTCTAAATTAACCGTTCGCGAGCATAGAAGTGACTTCTTTTTATTAAAGGCGACACGACCCTGCGCTATCCTCTGCTTTATATCCCTACTACTCCTTCCATCCTCACTTATCTGACTTCCTAGGTATCTAAAATCAGCCACTTCTTCTAATTTTTCGTCTCCTATCTTTATATTCGCTCTTTCCCTACTTTTTCTTCCCTTGCATATCAGTATTTTAGTTTTACTTTTATTTATTTTCATACAGTACTGATCTGTCAGTACCGCTTCCATTTTATTTAAAGCTATCTCTAGGTCCTCCTTGCTAGATGCTAATACTGCTATATCATCTGCAAATCTAAGCATACTAATCTTTTGCCCTTGCACATCTATCCCTACAGTTGTACTGTCTTTAATGATGTTGATGGCGTCTTCGATGTATAGATTAAAAAGTAGCGGTGACAGTGTGCATCCCTGCCTGACTCCCTTCCTAATATTTACTTCTCTACGTTGCATCCCCAGCTCTATAACTGCCTGTTGCTCTTTATACAAACTAAGTATCACTCTTCTATCTTTGTAATTCATACCTACATTTTTAAGTATATTTAACATCTTTTTGTTAATTTCAAAAAATTAGTAAGTAATTCTGGAAGCAGTCTGACATTTGACAAACTACTTATCATTGCGATGTTTGGTAGGGTATTTTAGACAAGTGATATATTTTCCTTACCTCTGATCCCGAGATAAAAATGTTCAGTCTCTCAGAGTCTCTGGAAGCGAAACTCGAATGTCCGTCTCTCATCGAGTCTCTGAGAGAGACTGTCGAGAGACTGTCAAAAAAACTGTTAAGCGTCTCCGAACGAGAGACTCGAATCGCTCATAGAGAGATCCTCATTTCGTATCCAGTCTCTGAACGAGAGACTCGAATCTCTGAATTAACAATTTCATCGTTCGAGTCTCTCATACGGAGATTGTGAGAGGTCCATAAAAACTCCTAGGCAATAACTGAGAGACTGTGAGAGACGCTCTCAGAGACGCTGCAAGACTCTGAGAGACTGGAGAGAGACTGAAAATTTTTGTCTAGGGATGTTGCTTTCTGTAGAAGAGAACAAGCTCAACTGCTTGGGTTATTGTGGACAGCATTATACTCAACGATGTCGTTCAGCCACCTTATCGTTTCAAGGGGTCGAAGTTTAGACGTATAAAAAGTTTTATTTCAAAAAGAAAGAAATTCGTATTATATTATTTTTATATTCATTTCATGTAAATTGTTAGTAAAATAAAGAAAATATTTGTATACATTGTTGTATAAATAGAAAACAAAAGTAAAATAAGAAGACTCTCACAAACAAGCAGCTCTTGCTGGTTGACAAGATGGCGGGCACTCGACGCAGTCGGGTGCGTCTTCATCGTCGCACTCAATGTAGGTACCAGGTGGTTTGTAGCTCATCTTTTGCACTGAACAGCCTTCCATTCGTTGTTCTGGGACCACGTACTTTCCTTTGTCGGCCCACGGCATGTCGACTGGTTCTTGCGGTTCCCACGGCATGTAAGACATTTTATGGACGGTGTTTTTCTCAAACGGTCCACAAAGCATTTCCAAAGCGGGTTTGGGCCTGAAGGGGTCGACTCGTGTCACGGGGTTTGGAATAAACGACATACGATGTATTGTCTTGTCACTCAACGGACAATCGCTGGGATACAGGTTCTCGGTAGGTTTAATGGGACTCTGCCTTAGAAATGGTTTTGGAACGTAGTCGTGTCTATTGGTTGTTATGTCTTGCATGGGGCCTTCTCCAATTAGCTTATGTTCGCATGGAATGATGGGACATGGCGGGGGTACTCCGCAATGGGGTTGAAACGACATCTTATGAACTGTACAGTCACTCATTCTACCCTCGCCTACGCACAGGTTAGGATCGGGTCTAATAGGACTTGGTCTCTGGAGATCGTTCGGGACGTAAGACAGGTTGTATGTCGTGTAGTCGTCCATGGGAACACATGGTGGCGCAAATTTACTAACAGGGGCGTATGATTTTGGCCTGGCTGGTTGAATGTATCTACATTTTTTCCTCCTGGGAGGAGGGCATGGTGGATTATGGTCAGGAACTGCCGGTTCTAACGTCGGAACACAGACACTATCACATGGCTGGCATGGCGCTTTGCCATCGATTGAACATGGGTTCACTTGGGTCGTGGGCACCCCCGCAGGCACTGCGGGTACCGCCGCCGGGCATAAACCTTGATTGTCCGCTTTAGGCGGGCAAGACATTTTTCACCCAAGAAAGTCGGAACAAAACCACAAAAAATAGACGCCGCAGTTAAAATGCAGAGAGCGACTTGTTTAATGTCAAAATATGGTCATATTGTTTTGATTTAAAAAAAAATTGAAATGTCACCAACGGACTACTAGAATTATTGGTGCCGTTTGTTGTGCCCAAAAAAAATCTCTAATATTGAAGTTGTTCAAACGAGCTAGTATATCACTACATAGTATTGTGGCGAAATAACTGTTTTTGTTTCTTTTGTGTGTAAATATTTTTTTCTAATTTTTCCATTTCAAATAATATTTCATTTCAAATAATATTTCAGTTCAAATATTATTTCACTTCAAATATTATTTCAATTCTTTTCAACTTCTAATCTTGTAAATACTTTGGTTTCCTTTCAATCTAAACTCTATTGTTCTTTCAATCACTTTTACCTGGAAATCCAACTTCAACCATACCTGCATGCACTCCCATACTAATATCTGGTTTTACCCTTAATTGCTTTCTCTTGAATTCTGTACTATCTAATTCTGTGTATTCCTAGAAACTAGTGTCTTCACCCTCTCTCTCACTACTTTTCCTTCTAGAACATTCTATCAAAATTACTAACAA